TGCCATACATCAAAGGGGTCACGGACTGGATGCGGAAACTTTTGAAAAAACACAATCTACAAACAGTATTCAAGCCCACCACAAAAATACAACAAATGTTACAGTCAGCAAAGGATAAAAGGGACTCCTTCACCACTGGAGGAGTATACTGGATACCTTGCAGTTTTGGCCAGGTATATAATGGAACCACAAAACGCAGCATCCACACCAGAATCAAAGAATATGAGAGACACTGCAGACTAAAATAACCGGAAAAATCGGCAGTAGCTAAACATGCCCTAAAACAAGCTGGACACAAAATTCTATTTCAAAATACTGAAGTACTGGACAACACCAGCAATCATTAAGTTTGACTGGACAGGGAAGCCATTGAAATCCACAAACACCAGCAGAGCTTCAGAAAAAAAGAAGAAAGTTTAAAACTCAACAAAGCCTGGCTCCCAGCTCTGAAAAATACAGCCTGCAAAAGGTAAACAAATTCTACCCAGCCACAAGGACTGGTGATCACTGTACATAAAAGACCAGCTAACAACACCCATCAATCACAGTGACAGATACTCTCTCCTCCTTATCACAACAATATACCCACAACAAAAAACATGCTGATCACCATAATCACCCAATCTCCTGAACAGGACAAAAGTTGACGCACAGCTATAAATACTCAACTATCCAAGCAAACTGCACCAGAGTACAGAATTCTGACTCCTGTCCTCTGAAGATGCCGGCCACAGAGACTGGCAAAACGTTAGGAAGAAAAACCTTAAGAACATGGCCAAACAATCCGGAAAACCCACAACAACCAATTAACAGCTTGTTCATAACTAATTCCCTCCACCTGACCTCCAGCAATACTGGACAGATAACAATAAAATGATTAGAAGCTACAAGAAGGAAACTTTGAATGAACCTTGTATGGTATCTTTGCTGAGCATTATAGAGGGATCCTGACTATGAGGGTGGCCATAGCTAGCTGACGTGGCATTATTTTAAATGCTTTTGCACAGATCCACTGTTTTCACATTGTTTCTAGCCAAAAAAAGAAAACAATGGTTTAGCGGCACAAAAGGCCCCTTGTGAGGAAGCATGTTGACAAAACAAATCAACAACAAAGAAGAGGGCAAATTTGTGGGGGTGGTGGTGGTTTGAGAACAAGTGACGGGGGGGGGGAACTAACTCTCCCCTAGCTACACATAGCAACCCTGATCCAGATTGGATCCACACATACTTGCTGTGGAGTAATAAACAAGATAAGGCTCAGTTACATGTTATGAATTTCACACAGCATGTATGAGAGTATATGCACCTACAGTATTTTGTTTTCTTCCAAATAAGAAATAGAATAGGACATAAAGAAGCACAAAGGCATTTCCACGTGCAATCATAATTTAGCCCTGAGACCGAATGCCATTACCAGTGCCACAACACCAAAGTGGCCTGGCAGTGTTAGTACACAGCCACATTTGATTGGTTGGATTATGGTGATTGTCCATTCACACTGAGGGCAAGACCTTTTGTCCCAATGCTGAATTTGCTGAAGCAGCTTCCAACAGAGGCAGTGTAGAGGCAGAATAAATTAAACAAATATTTGGAGAATTTAAAGATGTTTTGGATCTTGCCCAATCCTTCTTTTCTATCCCCATCCCCAACTAAAGGGGAAGGAGACAGTTTAACACACACACAATAATACATCAAGAAACATGAAGCACGTTAGAACATTTTATTGACTGTTTATTTCCCCACCCTACCCATGTCCGGTTATAGCCAGAAAGTCTGTATTGGTATGTTGATTGCTGTGGTAGTGCTTAAGCATACTTGGCAGTAAAGCCCTAATTATTGTACCACGCTGCTCTCCTTGCCTGGCCCCTTTTCCACCCCACCTCTAGCATATCCAGGCTGCATCCGTGCCCCAGAGCCATCTTGCCCTGCAAATGAAACTTGTATCTGCATGCTGAGTGGAATCTTCAATTAAGACACAGCCGGTAATTGGGATATTAAATTCATGCTGTACACACTGCTGCTTCTCTGCCATTCCAACTCCCAGTTTTACAACAAATCCATTAATATGCTGGGAGGACTCTGGAGGATGAGGCTGGTTGGAAATGAAAGATAAAGTATTTTACCAATTTCTCTTTTGAGGTTTTTAAAGCACATCTGAGCGCTAATGAAATGCACCAAGGCTGTGAAGCTGAACTGCAAAATTTGTAATGGACAAGAGTTCCTCAAGTCTGAATCAAACAGGGTCCTTCCCTCTTTTGCCTCCATTAAAGCAATCCATAATTTTTCATTGAATCTCACAAGGCTCATTCAAGTGTGGTTGAACTATGGAGTTTTCTCGTATTGGAGTTCTTTCATTTCCAGAGTTCCGCATTCTGGAAATCAGGGCTTGAGAGGTAGGCACTAAGGCTAGCAACAAAGTCTAGAATCAAGCATGTAATAAAGGAATCAGCCAAGAGGACGACACAGAAGAAACTGGGTTTCCCGAAGTGAGAACTGAGATGTCATTTGGGAGCAAAATAGGCAGAAGCACAATATCAGAAAGAGTATCTAGGAAAGAGCTTGAGTGAGAGCGGGAACGATGTGCTCCTATAGTGTAAAGTGTGACAGCTTCCTTAAAATCCTGAGTATCTCAGTTTGCCAAGTTTATCCAGCATACCTCTGGGCATTTTTTTAAAAAACTGAACTATTAGAAGTTGAAGAAGATTGATCAGATACTTCAAGTAATCTAGGTGTCTGGAGTCCATGATTCAGCTCCACTCTATTTCCATTATCAACAAGACTTATCAACCTTTATCTCAAAGCAGACAGGCGTTTACTGAGATTGGCAAGCACTTTTTAAAAAATCTTGCACATCCACCCACACAATTTTCTGCATGTCTCATCCCACTACCTTCTTAATTCTTGACACAAAATTTCAAAAGCTATCAACTTCGCTCCAAGCTTTGCAAACAGACTTAGGAATGCACGCGGCAAATATTTATGCAGTTTGTATTACTTGCTGCTTTTAGGATTAGGAATGCTGGGCTTTCAAGTTGCAGGCTCTTAAGTTTTGTTGTTGTTTTTTTTCATATTGCAATTGGGTAGCAATAGCAGCTGAGAAAGAAATTTCCCTTCGTCAAGCAACCCAATAAAGAGGACACTGTAAAAAGGAAACCAGATTTTCTCCTTTTGCATGTAACATGTAGCTAGCTACGTGTGCTGAGGTGCCTTGATTTCCAGAAATGAGCCTGTGCCCTGTCATACATGCAGTATAGCTGCAAGCCTTTGCAAACATTTGTGTGTTTTTCCATGCAGATTACAAAATTATTTTTCTGTCCCATTGAAGGTGCCTCATCACTCTTTTTAATCACAGAGTGCTTCCAGATGAGGCTTGTATTGTGTGATTGCCCTGCTTCAAACATGAAATTTTATGCATCCGGATAGCATCCTCTCCCATTTGTAACCCTCCCATGTCTTCTTTTTTTCTTCTTCTTAACACTGGACAATGCCGTCTACAGTTCTAACAGCTGTATGTCTGGAAGCATGCTTTGTCCCTGTCCATACCAACATTAAAACAGAGGAGAGCAGGGACCTTGGAAAAACAAAGCCCTTCTTCACCATGGATCTCCCATCTCCTTTGCATCCATCAAAACTGGCTAGCTGATGATAGGAATGTCCTCACCACCCTCAAGGGTGGACTCTAGAAAATGATCAACATGGTGGAATGGTTGATTCTTCTCTAGCCTTCTCAAGAAAGGAGATTTCTGCTGAGTCTCTTTGGCCAGGCAAACTATCCTTTCATCAAAACTAAGGTATCCACAAAAGTCTTTGCATGGGAGGTTCTCCATAACAGCTGGAGAAGGAGCAGGATGAGAGTTCACACGACATCAACAATGTTTTCTCAGAGGAAAGGGTTCATACTGCTTTGGGGAGGTAATGTTGGGGGGACTGAGCCAGAAAGTGGTAAGAGAGGTTGAGGCAAGTTGGTGGGTAACTCTGGGAAAGGTCCTGCTCCAGCCTGAGGGAAGGCGCTCATGGAGGCTGGAAGGGTCATTGATGATGGGATGCTGCTGAGCGGAAGAGGGAGTGAAGCACTGTAGGACATGGAGTTCATGGTCATTCCCATGGCTGCACTGGGTACTGGGGAGCTGGTCCGCATCTGGTTGAGGGTTGGCTTGGCCTGGTCAATGACATTGAACGGGTTGGTGGGTGAAGGTGTGCTAAGGCCTGGAGGAAGGAAAAGAGAGGTGACCATTAGCAAAACATTCAACAGGAGACTCACAGGCAAACTCTTGAGATACAGAAAGTTGGGTTTTTTTGTGTTTTTTTTTTTTAAAAAACTCCCTCTAGAAATTCTGCACACAAAGAGAGCATGCTTTGTAACAATACAGCTCATACCCTCTAATATCCAATAAGGAAAACATGAAAATGTGCTTCATCTTGGTTACTGTGGGTGTGTCTTTTGCTGTGTGTGCCAATGGTATTTTGGTTCAAGACCAAGGTCAAAGTGGAAGAGACATCAGCTCTGAAAGGTTGGGCAAAATCCTGTTGCATAATTTTGTGCCTGGTGTAACCAAGATCAGATACAGAAACACTTAGTTTACACTAAGCAAAAGCTTCCTATACCCGTTTCAGTTTCTGAGGATCCCAAGGTCTCCCCTTTGCCCCGGGGAAGTCTCTGGGAGCTTCAGGATGGAGGGAAGCCTTTAAAAGTCAAAAACAGCTGCTGAATCACTGCCACTGGGATTCAGATTGCCACTGCCAATCCAGCAGTAATTTTTCACTCTTAAAGGTTCCCCCTCTCTACTGTGAGGCTTTAAACAGCTTATCCAGGGCAAAAGGTAGCCCCTTAGGGAGCCCTGGAACCTAAAATGGGTTGGGAGGGGAATAGGAAGCTTTTAATTAGTATAAATTAAATATTTTTGGTACTTAATTTAGGTTGTGCCACGCACAACAGGGTTTTGCCCATTATGTCATGAAGGAATAAAGCCTCTAGGGAAATGTACTAAATGGAAGGAGAAGGAGTTTTGTGGCATGGGCTACAGTAGGTAGGGGATGGTGCAACAGGAATCCACTGTGCCGGGCTGAATTATACAAAGATCAGTACAAAATTGAAACAAACAAACAAACAGTGGGCCTCATGTTGGTCCCAATGCAGTTTACTATGGATCGTTTCTGCCTATAGGACCTACCTGCCAGGAATGGGTTACGAGACTTCAGGTTCTGGGGTGCTGTGACCAAAGAGTCCAAATTAACCAAGGAGGAGGCATTTGGGCCAAGAAATGTCTCTGGAGTTTTGCTATCTTTCTTCTCCTTCTTTGTATCAGGAAGAGAATCTCCTAAACTTGTAATATCAAAAACATCCTTATTCTTGCTTCCGTTTTCTCTGGTACTTGGAATAAGATCACCAAACAGGCCCATATCTACCAAAAACAAGAGACAGAAAGAGAAACCAGTGGAGCATTTCTGTTCCTCGCCATAAAAAGCATGGTTTGTCCCACATTTCTTCTGAGTGTTTACCAAATTATTTATGTACTTACTCATTTCTGAGATGCATTAGCTAGTCACCAACTAAAGCTATCAAAGTGGCTTGCAAAAACATACGCACAAACATAAGAATGTTATGAATTACTTTAGAGTGGAAAAGAAAACACAGCAGAAGGAAAATTTCAGCTCAAAATTGGTTATACAACGAACAGGACAAAAATGTCTATACAAACAGCAAAACTGAAAGGTCCATATAGAAAAATGCACGTGGTACTCCAGGCCAATCTTAACATGAGGCAGAGAGAGGAAAGTACCTCAGGAGTAGATGATGGCTTATGTGAAATGCCAGCCAACTCTCCATCTTGGCCTTCTCAGTTCCTTGGCCGTTCTCCTCTGTTTGAGGATAGCAAGCCACCTTGTGTCCCCTATGTTAGCCTGTTGCCCTCATGTATGGTGGAAGATTCAGTACTGGAATAAGGCTCAAGAGCCATCCTGGTGAATTTCTATATGGAATATCCTGTCTGTGAACAACTGTGCTGTCTTGTCCTCATCACCATTATTTGAAGCAGCCCGCCTAGCACCGAGAAGAGAACAAGAGTGAACTAGATGGATTTGCTTAGGCAAGAAATTCTATCAGTGAGGCAGCAGGAGTGGTCACTAGTCCATCTCTGATCAGAAAGGAGTTTGGAACAAGGACTTTGGATGATTATCAAAATATTCAAGCAAATGCCCCTTAGATGGGGAAATCTGCAGTTCTCAGGGTGAATGGAGCTCTCGGGGCCAGACTATGGGTTAGAGACAGTGTGTGTGTTGTGTGAAAGAAATGGCTAAAAGATCTGTGGTTTTGTTCTAGGAATGTGTGGGTGTATGAACAAGTTTCTGTTATGGTTTCACTCGAGGAGCCCTCTTGCAAGAATGAAATTACACCCCAAGATGAAGACTGTATAGATTCTGAGTCCTCCAGGGTGCTGGAAGTCACATCTTCTGAAGAAAAGTACCAGAATGTACTCAGATGAGATCTTGAGCCTCCTCCCAGACCAGGAAAATGTAGGATTTCCTTGTAGCACCAGCAACAGTAAAGTTTCTGGTTCTGGCTTATCATTGTTCAGTGTCCTGTCTTTCATGCCCCATGTTTTTTTCTCATCAGATCCCTCTGACTGCTGATTTCAGACTGTCAGTGTCAGCTTTGAAAACTCCCTATTTGGAACTGACACTATCCGGGAGGACTGATTTGGAATTTTCCCAGACTCTGCTCCAGCTTGTCCTTTCCACATTGGTGCTTTGCTCTCCAGATAACCAACCCACCGGGTCTTCCTATCTGGAAGCAGGACACTTCATATGTATGTTACACTATGAGGATGTGTGCATCCGCGTGACGTATCATGAGGAAGTGTATTTAAAAAGTGTGTAGGATGCAACCCATTTTGCTTTGGTGCCACCCACTGCTGACATGCAATCTCCAGATGTTAGTCATAGGTGAATACTGTATCATCCTCTGGGAGGAAAATCTTCCTTATACCTCTTCTTTAGGAAACCCAAGCCCTTCAGGAATTGAAAGGTGCCAGCAGAACTTTGCATCATATGAAATATGAAACTCCTTCCCACCTACATTTCTGCTAGATTCCTTTTCTTTTGCAACTCTACCACTGTTACCTAGTTATACAAAGATTCTCCTGCCTACTTTAAGTAATGTTTTTGTGTATTTTTCTGCAGATGTATGTGTGCACTTGTATGTGTTGCATGCAAAGCATACGAGATATCTTGGCATAGGCACTGTACACCCCTTCATTCTCCAGCTAAAAGGCACTCAGTTACTAGAACTGGGAAAGACAACTTCTGCCTGAGGCCTCCTACCCATAATGACAAATCAAACCGTTCTCACTGTATGTCTATTCAGACTCACTGTAAAGCAGTGTTTATGTAATAGTTCTTATTCTCAGAACAGCCTTCCTTTAATGCGGGTGTTATGTCACCACCATCTCAGCTTTCAAGTCTCACTTCAAGCCTTCCTTTTCCCTAAGGCTTTTTCTTTCACTGGTGCAGAATGGAATGGCTCACTAACACAATACTGGACTTTAAAAAAAACTGGCTTGTGATGAGCTCCCAGCATTACATAAGTATCAGCCTCCAGTTGAAAGGGTGGAACTGCACAAAAAGTCTAGCATTCTGAGGCTGAAACCAGTCACTGTATGATGGATGAAGCCAGGACAAAGCCGTCTGCTTCTCTTGCAGGGTGTGCGCTATGAAATTTGAGCATGTGGCAAGTATGAAACATATGGACAATCTCTGATACTTGGCAGCTCCTTGTGCAGCTCACAGAAACCTGATGTGCCCCATCATCAAAACATCTGTCCATCTGCAACTACTCATGTACCACTTTTTTTGCAGAGTTGTTTTCAACAGGACATCTAGAGACAGCAGAAACAGCCTTGGGAGGCCATGTGTGGCCCTGGTCCAGGGACACAGGTGAATAAGGAAGTTTAGTAACAATTCATATGAGTACTTTCATGTGTGCATGTACATGAGCAGTCTCTTCAGCACTGCATGCAGCTCTAAGGCCACAAAACATTGTCCAGGCCTGGTATAAAATGTCCACTGTTGTGGAGGCTGACACTATGGGACTATGATGTTCTCAGAAAATGTGCCTTAAGGATGTGTGACAGGAAATTAAATATTTTTCCCTTCTGGCCATTTGTACAGCTTTGATAACCACTTATTTTCCTGGGTACCTCTCTAGCTTTCATCCTAATGTTTAAGCCTACAGGTCCCCGCACCCTGAGTACTGACCCTGCTGACAGCTTGAGCTGATCGGAGTTGTTAGCATAAAAGATCCGGACCTGCTCAGCTTGGAGTCAGCTGTGTCAAGGCTTGAACTTACCCACAGGGCTGTTAGACCTCACAGATGATGGTGCCTGGGAACTGTCGTGTTCTGGATGATCCACTTGTTTGGCAAACAAGTCAAAAGCAGCACTGCCTGCAAACGAGAGAAAACAGAAGGAAAACCTCCTGAGATGAAATGGTCTAGACACCAATACATTCCCCTTTTCCTGCATCGCTGCCGACTTAGCAACTCAGGGAAAACAGAAGCAATGTTTGTGGTGGAGCAATAACTCACAGTGCCAAAACCACTTCCCCTGGTATCTCCTATCTGCTCTTGAGCTTAGTGGGAACCTTCGCAGGACTTTCAGGGAGGGATTGCTTTTAACTGGCAGTGGCATGTGCTTGGGAGGCATCCTTCTGCGGCAGTGCAAGACATTTGGGAGTGCCTTGGTCTTGAATGGGTGATTAAGTGGACAGAAACACCTGCTGAAACTGGCTTGATGAGAGGGGTCCACGAATTTGCTGGTTCGTTGGTGTCCTTCTTCTGGGCATATCATGTAAAATGTGCCACAACATAACTGAGTTATAATGTTTGAGTTAGAACTTCAAATGATCCTTTTGACTCTTCTTCATTTGAGGGCAAGAAGAGGGTGGGCTTTAGGGGGAAGAGTATTAAAAAAAGTTGACTCCGGCCAGAGGCTGGGGTTCTTTACCCACCATCCATCTGAGAGGTTTCAATGCACAGCAGTCTCATTCTAGCTGGCTCTCATCCATCTCTGGGCCACAAGCTAAGTCTAGAATAACATTGGTTTGTGAGGATGTGGGGTTATGTTTAGGTGCATGCATACAAGTTCTGTTTTTCAAATTGACTAGAAGTCATGTAGTCTTCTCTTATTTGGAATGGGCTCCATGATCACTGCAGATGGTGACAGCAGCCACGAAATTAAAAGATGCCTGCTTCTTGGGAGGAAAGTGATGACAAACCTTGACAGCATCTTAAAAAACAGAGACATCACCTTGCCAACAGAAGTCCGAATAGTCAAAGCTATGGTTTTTCCTGTCGTGATGTATGGAAGTGAGAGCTGGACCATAAAGAAAGCTGACCACCGAAGAATTGATGCTTTGAATTGTGGTGCTGGAGGAGGCTCTTGAGAGTCCCCTGGACTGCAAGGAGAACAAACCTATTGATTCTAAAGGAAATCAACCCTGAGTGCTCGCTGGAAGGACAGATCCTGAAGCTTAGGCTCCAGTACTTTGGCCACCTCATGAGAAAAGAAGACTCCCTGGAAAAGACCCTGATGTTAGGAAAGTGTGAAGGCAGAAGGAGAAGGGACGACAGAGGATGAGATTTTTGGACAGGGTCACCGAAACTACCAACATGAATTTGACCCAACTCTCGGAGGCAGTGGAAGATAGGAGGGCCTGGCGTGCTCTGGTCCGTGGGGTCACGAAGAGTCAGACACGACTAAACAACAACAACGACATGTAGGCTTCCCTTATTTTAGCCTCATAGCCAAAGGGACCTTGCAAAGTCTTAAAGCAACTTCCTGGTCACTTTGCCCCATACATCCCACTCCAAGAGCTATAGCACCACCTTCATTGTTGAAATTATGCATCTGCTCCTGCCGACATTTGGCAGCGAACACCAACATTTTCAGAGAAACACTAACCCGTATCTCTCTATGATGAGGAAGGTAGCCAGGCACCCTCCTGTACCATAGAGACCTGAATATTTCCAGAGGAGAAAAAAAAGAAGGGAAAGCTCCTTTTTTTGTAATGAAGGTAAAAGCAACATGTCAGCTAACTTGCCATTCAGGTAATCAGTCCACTTGAGCAGACAAATAGCATGTTATATCGCTCACATGCCGCAAGAAGGAAATTACAGCTAACAGTTACAGAAAGAAGCAAGTGGTTCTTCATGCTATCTGACTTTGGATGCAAATAAAAATGAGTTTCTCTCACCAGCAGTGGAAGGCTTTTCAAGAGAGCCTCCCCAAGGATCAGCAGTAGAGGCAACATCTGCCGAGACTGGAGCTGGTGGGGAGGACTTTCGCCAGGGATCCGAAGATGTGACAGTGGATGACAGGGATTCCATGCCCCACGGTCCAGAAGAAGGAGTGGCATGGGGAAGATCCCAAGGCCCTGAAGAGACCTGGTGCGTTGAAGAAGAGGGTAGAGGATCCCCTGAAGGTACAGGTACCCAAGGATCTGCAGTCGGACCCCAAGATGCTCCTGTAGTTTCTACAGTAGATTTGGTATCTAAAAGAAAGCAGACAGGTAGGTGTAGAGCAAATCAAAATACAATCACCGTGACACAAGTGGAGGCAGGAGGGGAAATAGGATGGCAGCAGGTATATGATGCAATCCTAAATGAAGACAAGTGTTTCAGATGTTACTGGCTTGAAGAAAGCTTAGTTGATTAATCACATCTGCTTTGATTAATTAAATCTATATATGGATATCTTCTGAAAGGAGGAATCATTTTAGATGATTCATTGATCCATGTGACCCACCACATATAAAGCATTTGTTCCTGTATGAGCTCAGTTGTGGATGGTTTTAGCTTTGCGTTATATTCATTTTTATTAAAAGTAAAATTTCCAGACTATGTTTTTCTAAGTGCTTTTTACAAACTACTGCTAAATTTTATTATTGTTGTTGTTGCTGCTGTAGTAGTTATAAATATGTATTTCTTAAAATCTGCAATCTAATTAAGAGGGGCATTGTTTAATGAATGAGAGATGTATTAATCACTTATGCTTATTTATTGATTTAAACACTTTGGCTCAAAGCAGAACCATCCAGAAACAATGGACGAACATTTGCCAGAGCAGGACAAAGCATGAATGAAATGGGGGTGGGGAGAGAGAGAGAGAAAGAGATAGTGCAAAGCTCCTTACTGTTTTGCTCCCAAGAACTGGACAAGGACAAAGCTGGAGGAGAAAAGGCTGTATCATGATCCCAAACCTCAGCAGATTGAGGGTTGCTCCCACCTGGAATATCCCATGGGTCAGCTGACGTATGTGCAGAAGTGACAGGTGCTGGTCCAAAAATGTCAACTAATTCCAACATAGAAGACTGCAAAGATATGGAGGAATAAAATGAATTAGGAGTCCACAGATACCCAAAATGTGAAAGGTTTAATACATAACAAAACTATAGCATATGATGGCCTAAATCCAACTATTGATTATATTAGGAAAAACCCACTGAATCAGTTGATTCACTGGTAATCTACCATAGTTGGGACTAAAGGTAAGATTTAAATCAATAGGTTTTGGAGGATCAGCTAGAAGACATCCCTCACTGTCCTCCTTGTTCATTTTCTAGGTAATTCTTATTCTGTGTTCATAGCTCAGAGTCTCACCCTGAAGTGATTCACATTCAATATTTCTGGTATTTCACTTTCCCAATACTGTGGATACAACTGGAGAAATGTAGGCATGGTTAAGACCCACTTAAAGCAATAATAGGTTGCTATTTGGGCCACTGGGAAGTAAACAGGGTCCTCTTTGCAACTGCTACTGAGGCACAAAGTTTTACCAGAATCTGAACACGAAAGTGATTTTCACCTTCTAATGATATGCCATCTGTAATGTACAGGTTGACCTCCAGATGAAGGCGTACTAGTGCCATTTGAAAGAGATAACGTTTTTGTTCTCTATCTTATGTAATCTCCATCACTCTTCGACCCCAATAAAATTCCATGTATGACAAAGAATGATTGCACAATAAGAACCTGATCTCAGTGCACCTTGATCCAAGCAAGCTTTAGTTTCAGCGAGAACTGCTCTCTTTTTTGGACAGTTTTCTGAAGTTCTTCTCAGTTGTACTTCACAATTCTATGAATGCCACAGATGTAGCAGTCTGAAATATTGTCTGTCATAAATCTCTGGAAAGCTAAGGTGAAAGGGCAAGCTTCCTAACATGGCCTGGACTGAAATCTTCACAAAGCTAGTGACATACTAGGATTCAATGTGTTAAATAATGTGTGACATCAAGCCACGCAGGAAGAACACAAATCTGTACTGTCCAATGGAATAGTGTGGCCTGTCTGTCAGGACCCACAAGGCAGTGAAGCAACAAACTGAAAAGGCAGGTGCCAAGGGGTAGCGTGCACAGTCCCTTGGCTTCCTCCTCCTAAACCCTGCACTGTTCACTTCTGTGTGTGCCTCACAGCCTGTTTCAGAGGTTAGTTTTTTTCGGACTACAGCTCTCAGAATTTCCCAACCAGCAAAGCCAAACTCTGGCCTGTCCTATTTCTCCAAACTAGCCTGATGCCCTCCGGTGTAGTGGACAATGGAATTCCATTGCTAGCATTCCACTGCCACTGGTTAGCTGATGAATGTGGAGCAGGGTCCATGAGAAACCTTGTTCTTTGCCTCAGGTGGCCAAGTGTCTTGGGCCAGCCTTAATGTTGGCGCCAAAGAACAGAGCAAACTGGTTCCTCATACCTGACTTTTCTTTGTCCTTTCTTCTTCTTCTTCTTCCTCTGTGCCTAAGTGACTCTCTTCCAGTGCTCTCTGCAGTAGTGAATTTTCTCCTTGCCAGGCCCTAACTTCCTGCAGTTAAAACAAACAGTGCAATAGTCTGCGCTGAATGCAAGAAAAACGAAGAATTGCTTCCCTCTGGCCACAGTCATAATCGAGATACAGCCATACTTGTAATTGTCAAATGCATTTGTAAAATCCATGTTAATGTGCTCTCTGTTAAGAATAGTTAGTTTTCAAAACTGAAAGTTAAGGTTATCAGCCAGAAAAGAACCACAAGGCAGAAGAAAATAGACATAAGCAAAGGTCATGGTAAGAATGGGGAAGGAGTCTAGAATTCTTCCATCTAATCCCCACCGAAACACACACAAATTCTGTGACCAAAGGCCTGTTGTAATCATATGCATATTTTCTTGGGAGTGGATCCCACTGTGCTCCATGGGGGGTTGCTGTCAAATTAATGTACTTGGGATTGCGTCTCATAGTTATGGGAAAAGGTATATTTGCATACTTTAATTTTAAATCATTGTTCTGATGATCAAACATTCATTTTAGAATTTGACATTTCTGTCATGGAAGGAGAGAAGAAGAGAACCCATAAGGTCCATTCTTGGGTTCCAAAGACCTTGTAATTACTTCTTACGTGACTGAAGATTGCTTTCAGAATGATAAGGACTAGAAACCTAATTTTTCTCATATTAACATATTTAGGATTCCACCAAGGTGATTAGATTCCAAGCCTGTGGCAAGCTCACAGATGTGCAGAATTTCTAGACCCTTCTGGATATAGCAGCATTGTCTTCAGAGCAAGATGCAAAGAAGGTCTCAAGCTCTGACATTTAAAGATGTGAATTCAAGAAGAAGAAAAGTTAAAGCACCCTTCACCATCTGGGTTTTGGGGATACCTTCTCATGTTCCTGTTTGCTCAGGGTAAGCGCTATCTGTAATTGCAAATCTTCATCTGTGCTGGAGACTGGAGGTTGTGGCTGCTGACAATGAAGGAAAAGTGGGTAAAAGTTTGCTTTAATTCCAGGCTGTCTCTATTCACAGGCTGTCTCTATTCAGTCATTTATTCTGGCTCTAGATTTCAACCCTGCTTTCCCTTTATGATCAAAGAGCAAGATGGCTTTAAGTCCAGCCATATGAAGATTCTACTATTTTTGATGATTCTGCTGCTCATCCAGAGTTATGGTTTCTGTTGCTTCATCCAGTTTGCCATAATTCCATTCAACTTGCTTCTCCCTAGTTTTTTTCTTCTATCCTCCCATACTTCATTTATTTATCTATATTACTGTTTATTTGCCTATTATATTATTACAAAGATTGGTATATATTTTGTGACACACACACACACACCCCACTGACATTTATTCAGCTGTGGGAATTTAAAATGAGAGTATTGAGGGAAGATTTTTCTCTCTCTCTTCATATTCTATCACATAGTGTATTGGATTTATTTTGCTACAATTAAAATCTGTAGCTAATTTGTAATAATTAAACCCAATTAGAGTCTGATAAATTTAAAGAGAAAACGCTGCATTAAATATTTGCAAACATAAAACAAATCCATGAAGCAGTTACTTAAACAAATACACAAAAGCAAGAGCGTGCCTAACATCAGGTCAGTCTCTCTCTTCCAGCAGAGGTGGACCAGTCAGAGCTGTTTTTCTAACCCACAGCCGATATAAACAAGACAACCCAGGAGCAATGCAAGTCATAAGGAATCAGGTGGGGAATCTTTTGTCCTCCTGGCCCTAAACTAGATTCAGCACCTTGGACAGTTTCTTTTAAACCATTTAAAGGAAAAAAAACTTGGGAGGTGACGCACAGATTTTTGGTATCAGTGAAATACAGCTTCTGCAATTCTCCCAGCCAGACTTCTTGGGGTTTTAATTAAGAAATCAAAATCTTCATAGTTTTTTTTCAAATTCTCAAACTAATTATTTCTGACACTGATAGCCATTTTCATCTTGTGCAGAAGACTGGGGGAACAGATGCTCTGTGGGAACTACAAGGCATTTATGGGTCTGGCAGGTTTTGAGTTTTTTTGTTTTTGTTTGTTTGTTTTTGTGATTTATGGGTCTGGAAGATTTTGGGTTTTTTGTTTTTGTTTGTTTGTTTTTTGTTTTGTTTTTGTTTTTTGAGAGGCTTCATTTGCAGACCATAATGAGCAGATACTACCACACCCACAGACTCTTGCAACTCCCACAGAGCTTAGCCCTGTCCATCCATTTCCCCTGTCTTCTCCATAGGATGAAAATGACTGTGGAAGTCTGAAATACTTCTATATTGTCTTTCAATTGTTAAATCTCAGGGAAGTTTGAAACAGATAAAAGCTGGAATTTAGCAAATAAAATAAATTAAAATAAAATGCAGATGGTTTTAAGCACTTTTCTTCCAACAAAAGAGGGCCCACTGTTGTCTTTCAAGACAGCAAACCTAGATGCCACCTTGCATGTAGCACTCAAGTAGGGTGGAGCTTTACATATTGTCTACAGAGTCTGGGGAAAGAAATAGATAGAAATGAATCATAATCCATTCTAGTCAGTGAGAAAGTGATGTAATGACCTGCATGCCCACCCAGTTTGCTATCTAGACACTGACAACCATTGATTGCTCGATGTAAATACCTGTCATCCCTTTTTATGGTTCCTGTCTTTGAAACTGACTTGGACTAAATAGTCCTTCAAACAAAGGAAAGTTCTCCGACAATCTTTCAAAGAGGGCTTTACTCTCTAAAGTAGGACACACACTACAACCAAGTAATAGAAGATGAGAATGTGTTTGTCTACAAAACATTTTTCACAAAAGGCACAGTGTGTTACTAGATGTTCTCTGGATCAACTGACGGAAGGCTGTATATGTAGCACCAGGGCAGCATTTTCCCCAGAACTAAAAAGTTTTCCAGAGTTAAAAAGTTTTCCCTTTCCACCGTTGCCAGCACTTGTATACAGGGGAAATGACTGAGTAATCTACAAACCATTAAAAACACTAAGTGAAGAGTCTAAATGAATAATGCCAAACTTTTTTATTTCAACATCAGTGAGTGCCTGCAGGTCTAGCTTTTTTGTTTTGTGTTGTGTTGTGTTGTTTTTTCAGACTGAGGGCAGGCTGGCTGACTTCCCAAGCTACCAAAACCAGAGAGTTTGCTATGCTGGCTGCTATGAACCTTCTGTCCTTCCTTTGGGCTGGAGTTTATTAAGTGTCATTCCCAAATCCAGTCTGCTACAGCAAGGTGAAACAGCAAGCAACTGGTAGATTGTGGCACCAGCAGGTACGCTGGCTTTGTTTTTAACCCTAACAGGAAAAAATTAGTCACACTTTGTAGCAGTACAAGCAGCAATCATCACCATTCCCTGCAAAAAAAAGAGGAGACTATTCCATGTACCATCTTAATGCTGAATTTAAAAGGGCAACTTGTCGCAGATCTTGTACTGTCATTTCACAAAAATGAATCACAGTTGTTATTGCCTTGAGCCCAAAACCCAGCTATCATCCTGAACAGCTAGTGCAGCATCATGAAAATCAGTTCTGACAGGAGCACAGATGTCCACTTCCTTTAGAAATTACACCTAGCCTATTCGGCCAATAAGTTGGAAATACAATGTGACTTACATATAGGTGCACATTAGCATCTACTGTCAGCTACCAAGTGCCAAAGCTTAGTTTTGCATAGAGAGCTTCCTCAGAGGAGGGGCTGCACATTAAATCACTATACGCATCCTAAGTTGTGAGGTACATCACCATTTTATTCTCATAGGTTCCAAAACATCATTATCTTCATGTTTGCCTCCACAGAATCCCTGAGACCACCTCAATTTGCAAATGGGAACTAAGACAGCAAGGAAATGATTTGCTGAAAGCTACACACTAAGCTAATGGCAGAAATGAGAGCTGAGCCCAACTCCTAATACTTTCTTGACTGATATTCTGATATTTAACTGCAGGCTCCACACACACGCACACCCAGGTTCCAAAGCTACTCAGGGCTCTCTTTTGCCCCATAGAATCCTATGCAAGCCCCGGGACCAGGGAGGGGGGGGAAGTCTTTGATGGCCAAAAATCACTGCCAGATTGGTGGTGGTGGTGGTTCCAGTGCTGGTGGGTAGAACCTGTGGTGGCAATTCCTGGCTATTAAAGGCTTCCCCACCCCTTCTTGAGACTTCCCCAGGGCAAAAGGAGCCCCAGAGAGCCTTGTAATATAAAATGGGGGGTGGGGTGGGATAAGATGCTTTCAATTAAACGATGTTACTGTTGGAGACTGATGACATCACTCTAATTGCACAGAGTAAAATGACACCAACAGGGTTTCAGCTATTATATATGTGTGATTAGATGACTAGCAGAGTTAAACTATAGTGTTTACCTGGGTTTAATTTAAGACACCAGAAAAATGCATTAGTGTGTTCATGTTTTGAGTGACAAGGGGATATGATTTATTGTCTGAATTGCCTTACTTTTGTTGGTATGCTTCAAACATACATTTTTACTTTAAACTAAAGTTTTTTTTGTCTTTGGGAAATGTTACTGCTTTTTAAAACATAAGAAAACACAGGTGTCAATGTTGAGAAAAGGATACCTGTCTATATTAAAAATTTTGAGGTAAGAGCATTTCTTTAAAAGCCACCAAATAAATAAACAAAGCAAATGTGTAACACATATGCTCACAAAAGAGAGGGAGTTATTTTGACTTATATACTGCCCCACAGTGCTAGAACATTCTCTGGGTAGTTTACAACATAATTATGCAAACAACATGTACGCCCCCAGTAAGCTAGGTATTCGTTTGACCAATCTCAGAAGGCTGGAAGGCTGAGTCACTGTTGAGATGCCTACCTGAACCTTCTGTGATTGACCTCAGGTCGTGAGCAGAGGCTTGACTGCGGTACTGCAGTTTAAACACTGTGCCACAGGTCTTGCTGCCATTTAAGCATCTCTCTTAAAGAGCTAGATCCTGAATATGAATGAGTGTTACAAATCTCACTTGCATAAGCATCTACACAAGAGGAAAAAATATGATTTGATTTGCTGTGGTCTGCAGTTTTTCAAACTGGATCCTTGTTAGTTTCTAGGGGTCAAATCTCTGTAGCCATCCAGACGACAAACAATTACTGTGTTGCAGGAGTTAGCAGGCATGAGCAGAGAAAGCTGTACTGTATTTGCACAAAACTCCAAAAGCAGAAGCTACCTTTGACCTGAGGTAGCTGCTATTTGGTAATTTCCATTTCTTTTTAAAAAACTTATTTTTCTGAAATGAGTTAGTGATAATTTGTTGTGGCAGTGATTTAAAAGCCCCTATTTAAAAAAAAAGTACTCTGGAGACAATAGGCACTCAGCTGAGTGGAATTGACACTCCTCTGAATGCTCCTTTGCCTTTGAATCAGGCAGTAACACAAAGCTAAAAGCAAAGAAAAGTGATGCCAGCCAACTGCAGCAAATTTAAGCCATCCCTGACAACTGAACAACAACAGCAACAAGAAGAACAACAACAAAGACAATTTCCCACTGAAATGAGAAGATTCCCCACCAGGCTTGCCTACATTGAGCTCTACATCATGTAGTTGCTGGATGTGTATTCAATTTCATTGCTGAATAATCTGATGTAACTTGTGCAGTAAATGGCCGATGTGGTCACCCACATAATCTCTATAACATGAAACAGATCTATTGGTATTTCATCAATCTCTGATGATTTGTTGCCCCTACCAGCTCACCACTGGGAGGGTGAAGGGCATTCTGCTATTGCTTGCCTGTCCCCAAGAATCTCATCCAGATCCTGTCCAAGGAACTTTGCCTCATCTCTAGTTCTGCCAACTATTTCCTGAAAGCAAATTCTCGCGGTTATTTTTAAAGCAAAGACGTTGCACAGCTATTCAACTTAGACATTCCTCATGTTGCCACCCTTTTCATTATCTCAATTTTCCTGACTCATTATGCATTTGCAGAAATGTATCCCTTAATGTATTGTTTCAATGTTGGTGTAGTACAG